AATGTTGGATTACACAATTTCACTATAATGATGAAATTTTAAATAAATAAGTTATACATTAACGTCATGTAATATGAAATTTATAGGAGATTCTAATAAAAATATGATAACAGAATAATATAGATAATCTAGATAAGAAGAAGAAAGCGAGAAATAGTTCACCACTAAGAGAATTAGTGATAAATATTACTTAGAATTTATCGAAGCTATATATAATCTGAAAATTTGCTATATTTGTTTGTCAATATAACATTAAGCTAGCGGTGTGTTTCTTCTAAATTTCCATAATATATATATATGTACATTATATATGTGTATGATTGTTAAGTGAAGCAATTTAATCATAATGTTTTTAGAAAATTAAAAAAAACTGCCTTAGCTACATTCAAATCACAATTAGTTAAGTTTCACTTTAAAATTATTTTCAGATTTAAACAATGCTAATTTTTTCACAAAATTTTCTGTGGCTGCAAATTTATTTTTAAAAAGAATTCTTTGTAAATTAGATAATATCAATTTATAGGTGATTTCTCTAAATATTTTTTGTATAAAAATACAAACTATAAAACTGAAAATCTTGATGTTTATTGAAATTGCAATTAAACAGACCTGCCTTATATCATTCAATATTTTAAAATTATAAAATCTACTTCACGAATCAAAAGCAAACAACTATATATGAATATATTTTTTGCGTATTTATAGGCGTTTATATACAATATCTTAAATCTTGTACAACATACCAACGAGTACCTATGCATATAAATAAGTAGTCTAATTATTATTTTTAAGTTAATAATGATAAAAGATAAATTTTAATAAAAATTTTTAACATTTGGGAGACTAAACTTGTTTTCAACATTTTAAGATTATTTTTAACAAATTAATTTTTTATTTTGTGTTCTCGTGCTTTATATATTATATAAATGTGTGTTTATATATGTATTTGTAGTTGTACATACTACGTTATTATTAATATTGTTTTTTTTTGGCTGAAAATAACAAGTAGGTGGGCCTTTATAAAATAATTTAAGTTAAAACTCAAAGAATATATTTTATGTTTTATGAATAAATTAAATTCAATATGACTGAATGAAATAACCACAATAATTTGGTATTTAATAGCTTTTAGATTAACATAAATTTTGATAAATTTAAAATGAAAAAAAAATATAGCTAATTCTATTTTAAAAAAGTTTATTTTCTTTGATTAAATTATTACATTAATTAACTTAAATAAATTTATTAGGAAATTTCTATTAAGAAATTAATTTAAATGGAGTTTAAAAATTATGAGTCGTCTTAAGTGAATATTGTCATAATTTAATGGGGATCAAAGGCGATTTTCTCAATACATATATATATGTATACAAACATGAAATATTGTTGATTACTTTATTTGCTGATTAGTCATCTAAAAATTTGAATCATCATTTGGAATTTAAGAGGTTAATCATTGAAATTGAAAATTCTATACATTTTTCTAATATAAAATTTGAAAATGTTTTTTCTTTTTCACTTTATGTATGGTACTTTGCTTTTACTTTAGAAATTAATTAAGAAACTTAATAAATAAGTGGTACTCAAAATAAATTGTTACACTTAATAAATATGTTAAGTTACTGAAATAATAAGTGAGATTCGCTCAAATAAAATTTAGAATTGCCCAAATTTTAAAAAAAAATTTGATAAAATATTTGGCTTAAAAAATAAAATTGAGATTTCATTCTGATTTGAGATAGTCATGCAAAAATTGTAGTTCACAGAGAAGAGAATGTTTGAAAAAAATCTACAGCATAGCAAACAAATTTCCTAAAATACTTGCAACATAAACTTGTTCTTTTTTTACTGATTTTCAAGTTTTAGTAATTTTTTATTTTGACTGGTTCTCTAAAATCTCAGATACAATCATATTTTTAAAATTAAGGTATACCATAAAGCTCCACGTCCCGTATGAAAATAAACTTATAGTTTTATGATTTTCTAACTACTATAAACGCACTTATTGTGTCATAGACTATTATAAAATACTCACTTTTTTGCATTTATAATACTCTGGGATCATCTAAAACAGCTACTCTTTGCAAATATTCATATTATTTAAAACTTAAAATTCATTTAAATGCAAAAATTATGTTTAGCGATGAAGTTCATATTTTATCTTCATGAGTTTATTGATAATACTGAACATTGTTTTTGTAATAATACTTGAAACGAGTTTATTGAAAAACCTTGTACTGATAGAAGCTCTCTTAAAGTAGTAAATATGCCGCTTGTTGAAGCTTAGAATTAATGACTTTGTGAATCTTATTTTTTGTGAAATCTATAAGGCTGTGAACGTTATAATATGGAAATTGGTACTGCATCCCAATCACATCTTCTTTATTTCCAAAGTATAGGTAAATGAAATATGAATTTAGCGAACAAATACACCGCACTATCATTTCATTTAAATCAAAATTTATAGAATTCCCTTATATGAGGGTCCTGTCTCATATTCAAAAAATTTTTCAAATGTAAATTCTGCATTTCTTTATTTTTTGTTATTATTTTATTTCTTTTAAATTTAATTTCAATTGGGTTCAAAAAATACGTTATACTTTATTTTAATTTATATGCTCTTAATTTAGGATTTTGATTTCTTTATGAGTGCCACTGAAATTAATTTCTATAATATCGTTGCTTGTTACCCTCATAATGAAAACATGGAACAAAGTAGTAATTCATATAAATTTTAGATATATTTCAATAGTTCACATTACTTGATTTCTTGCAACGATTATTGTTCCTTTTGTAAATTAAATAAAGATAGAAACCTCTCTCATGAAAGACAAATAATATTCAAAAATTTCGTCTGCTCTCTCTGTTCAAGCAAATTTCAATATAATTTTATTCATCGAAATGAAAAATGAAACACGTTTTATTTTCAATTAAAATTCTTATAATTTTTATTTATTCACATTAAAATTCTATCTTATATTTTTTTTATGTCATCATTTCTCTCTTTGTTTAATATGTTTTTCATAGTTTTTATTTTTTGTTTAATTAATTCTTTTTTGTTTTCTTTGTTTATTTCATTTTTAAGTACTAAAACGACTTTCCAATATTTTTAAAATTTAATTTTTACATTTAAATATTTTTTTTATAATATATTTTACTTAATAGACTAAAATTAAATTTAAATATTATTTATTTTATTTTTTTTTTATCAATTAATTATTAATATCAATTAAATTTTTTTAATATTTTACATACTCTTTTTTTTTTCTTTTTTTCCTTTTTAATAATTTTACATTTAATTTTTTAGCTATTTTTGTGTTTTTACTTTAAAAACTATTAAATAAATATCGAAACAAATTATAAATTTTTCTTTATTTTTCCCATATTTAATTTTTGTTTTTTATTTTTATTTTACAAATTTAAAAAATGATATTTTACAATACAAGATTATTGCAGTGCAACAATATATACAAACATTTTTTTAAATTTAATTACAAAAAAAAATAATTATTTAATTTGCAATTTTTTTTTTAATTTTCATCTTTGATTTTTGAATTTAATATATTTGAGTTCCAAGATCGATTGAAATCCAAGAAAAAATGTATGTATGTGTGTATGTATTTGTATAATAAAAATAAGAAACATAAAATTTCTTAACTGTTAATAGGAAACTAAATTATGTAAAAATGTATGTATTTAATGGGGAAGGTGGTGGCTTAAAAGAAAAAAACAAAACAAACATAAAAATGGCGATTGACTAGTATACAAAATTAAAAAATTTTTATTATTTTTATTGAATTTTAATTAATTTTAAAAAAAAAATAAAAATTATAAAATGAATTCATATTTTATTGGATATTTTTTTTCTCAAATGGTTATAATATCTATTATAATTTTAATGTTTTGCAGAATAAATTTTGGGAGCGCACAAAGTTATAAAAATATTATTAAAACATTAAAATTTTATGCAAAACTGAAGAAAAAAGTGTCAAAAGCCGAAAAATTTATTATTGTTAAATTTCTTGATTGAGTGTTTTTAGTTTATTAACAATATTAGCATTTTAGGTATACGTAATTAAAATTAATTAATTCAAGATTTTTCCAAAATTTGCAGGAGTGTGAATAATATTTTTTTCAGCATATTGTTCGATCTCAATAGAACAATACTCGTATTAAAGTAAAATATGCGAATTTAACTAAAATCACGATCATACAAGATTTTTTTCTATTTACATATTATCATTCAAAAAAATAGCAATAAAACATACATTGGAGCACCATAACTATGTAAGGAAAAGTACAATGTAAGGAAAATATATTGTATACATATTATGTGAAAAATTGTGCTGATATCATGTGGCCATTCTAAAAATTATGGAACCAGTAATTTCATATCTTTGCTTTAAATTAATCTAAAAATTATTTGGGATTCGTCTTAAAATTTTTCTTAATTAATTCGAATTATAATATTTAACAAATTTTCATACGAATTAAAATTATCATTTTAAAAATTTTTCGCTTTAAATTTTGAAATTCTTAATTAATTTTTAATTTAGTTGAATGAAATATTTTGTCAATATTATTTTTAATCAAGAAATTTAACAATTAATTACGACAATTTTAATAAATTTTATTTATTGTTATGTGATTAAACTGGAAATAAGTAAAAATAAGAAAATGTAGTTGTTGCATTTTATAAATTATTTAAAATAAAATATTTTCAATTACATATATTTTCATTTTTATTGATAGATTTCTTTCCTATGCCGTTTTATTTATTAAAAAATATTGAAATTTTAATCTTAATTTATAATTAACTAATAATATAATATATAAAGTATTTTATATATATACACAGTTCCGTTTTTATTTAATTTTATTAACTAATCTATACTACATATAGCATTTAAATTTGAAAACTAAAAAATCTTTTAGTTTAATATTTACAATTACTATTTACCATTTTTTTCAATTTTTTCAACTTATTTTGCTTATTATTTGCTTCATAAACACGTTTTGTCTTATAAAAAAAAACATTTTTTTTTTTGTTTTTTTATTTTAAATAATAAATTATAATTAATATTGAATTTAATAATTTTAAAAATAATAAACAATTATAATTAATTTGGCTCGATTTTCTTTTGCACATCTACACATATACAAATATTGTTATGCATGAATATGCATTATTCACTGGAAATTTTTACAAAATGAATTTTGAGCGCATAATAATTAATAAAATAATATAGGCTTCAAATGCGAGAGTGAGTGTTTAATTTATTGTGCTCTCACATTTCTCTCAATTTTTTTGTTTTTGTTTTGATGAAACTCCTAATTTTATTTAATGAGACTTAGTTAGATTTTAAGAAATTAAAAGTAAAGTTTTACATTTTTTTTAATTGTATTAGAATTATGTAGAACAGATCTAGTGGTGAAATATCTCAGTCGACAAAATATGGTTTTAGAGAAAATTGGATTTTAAAATTTTTAATTATTTTAGTTTTTAAGTTTCTGTAATTCATTAATAACTAAAATTCAAACTATAATTGCTTCATCACGTAAATTTTAATTTTGTGCGCTTGGACTATTCAACACTACTTGGAAAATTAGAATGTTGTTCTACATTAGTTTCAATAACAATGTCTTTTTGTTAGGAAATTCTTTGGTTTAAATTTTAAATATCTAGTTTATAATAATTAAAATTATACTCTGTTTAAAATTTTATAGGAAAAGAAATTTTTAATTGAAATTTTTTAACCATATGTTCTTTAAATTTTTCTTTATTTTCCGGAAATTAAAATTTTTAGGAATTATTTTAAAAAAAAAAAACAAATTGTTTTTTATAATTTTGAAATTTTATATAATGTATAGTATTTGATTTATAATTATTTATAAATATAAAAGTAAATTTTTACATTTAAATATTTTGGAAAAAAAAAATCATAATTATAATATTTTAAACTTTTTACCCTAAATGCATTAAACTTGGATGAAAATAGCCCATATATAATTGTGCAGCACCAGCTGGTCCAGCTCTACCTAATGCTGCCATTTTAATTTTTTCAATTTCAGCTTCTTGTAAACGTTTCGCTTTTGCTCTTCTATTTTGAAACCAAATTTTTACTTGTGTTTCAGTCAGTCTCAATGATGATGAAAATTCAGCACGTTCAGCAATACTTAAATATTGTTTTTCACGAAATTTCTTTTCCAATGATAATAATTGTTGTGTTGTAAAAGGCGTTCTTGGTTTACGATTTGGTTTATGTTTTCGTAAATTGCACTTAATACGTGGTGGTTCATTACTATCTATAGATTTAAATAAGAAAAAGAGAAAGAAAATAAATTGTTAATATTATTTTTATTTTTGATATATAAAAATAAATAAATTAATTAAATAATTTTAATTATCAAAAACAAAAAAAAAATTTTTAATTCTAAGAAATAATTTTTTTAATTGCTTGTTTTTTTTCCTTCGCATTTATATAATATGTTTTTGATTTATTGCTCGTGTATAACGCGTTTATATATATATATAAGCTTAAATTTTTAATGACATCAATTGTATTTTTTCTCTTTTTACCAAAATTTTTATATAAATATTCCGCTTTCGTTATCAGTTTATATTCAAGGTCAAATATTTGTTATTAATTAAAAATTAAAAATTGTATACAATTTATCAGTATTATTAAAAATAATATACACATATGAAAGATACATATACATACATTATGTTATTTTTAAAATCCAATGTTTATGCATGTGTAAGCATATACTCAGAATCTTATTGGAAACTATCAACAATACTAGCATTTAGCTTAAAAATTATTTAATTTTGCACACATCTGCGTATACACAATAATTTATATTAAATAAAGCACTCACATATTTTAATTAAACTCATTAGATACTATAAAAAAATTTAATACAAGATTAATAAAATTAATAATTTATTACAGATTAAAATTAAATATTTATATGAAATCGATTACTGATTTTTTAATGAATTTATTCATAATGATCTTAATGAAAATTAATTTTAATAATTAATTTTAAATTAGTATAAATATGTAAATAATTTCCGATGAATATTGTTTTTATTTATTTTTTTTTAAATAATTATTATAGAATTAATAATCTGACCTAATAAATTCTTATTATATAAAATTAACATTATATTTTGTATATAAGAGAAAATAATTTTTAATTATCGTGTATAATAAAATGCGAATAGAAAATTTAATTTCAAAATACATTATTATTATTAATTATATACATAATCAATTTAAATTTAAATAATACGAGACATGAATTTGATTCTACTTTAATTATTTAATGTTATTTAATTGGATAGCTTATATCCAATGATATTTGAATATGAAATTAGGAGGAAATAATCAATTATAGTTCCAGAATTATATTTGCAAATTAAACTATACAAAGTTACAAAAAAAATTTTTAAAATATTTTTGAATTAAATATTTTGATAAAATATTGTTTTATTATTGATAATTATCCAAAATAATATACCTAATTCGCACGAATAGTTCTAATGTGTCAAAACGTACAAATATAAAACTGTGACAACAATTTATTGCTTTAATAGGATATTATTCGCAAAAATATAAGATTGAATTTTTCATGTAGCTCAAAATCTAAATAATCAATATAACTCAAAATTTCATTATTGTTCCCGATATCTCCGGCTCTAGTACTAATTAGAACTCTTCATACAAACACTGATCAAATTGAATAATAATAATTGAATTCTTTCAAATGGTTGCAATAAATTTTAACAATAAACTTTCATTATAATATTAACATTTTAAAAACATTGAATAAAATTTTAAAATTTTAAAAATTTGTAATTCCGACGGCTTACGAAAAAGATAAACATAAAATTTTCACAAAATTTCGATAAAATTATTTACGAAAACCGAAAATTAACAAAGTAACTAATGAAAAACAACCATTCTTTATTTTAAAATTGAACAAATTAATTAAAAACAGAAAACCTAAAAAGTGCATTAAATTAAAAATAAAAGAAAAAAATTATAAAAATATGTATTATGTATGAATAAACAAACATCAATTGATAGAATAAAATCCCAACAAATTAAGCAGTAATTTGCATTCACATTGCACAATTTCACTAATTTGATTAACTACAAGTCTAAGTTGCGGCATTGTATAGAACATTGGAAACATACAAATATGTATTTTGGTGGAGCAGAATCAGAATAAGTAGGAATTAACATCTTCATTATTATCTTCTGACATCTGGTAATCTGGGAGCATTCAATTTAGAATTTCTTTACATTAAAAAAAAAATTTTGTTTTTTCCTTAATAAATTCTTTCCTTCCTCTTTGTTAATGTTTTTCTGTTACACATAATTTTTATATGTATATAGTTTTATATTTATATAGTTTTTTAACCCTCTTACTCATATTTCTGTCCAAAACAAAATATAATACAGAATAAAAAATATAAAAAAATTTGTTAGAACACAAAAAAAAGCACAATTTTTTCTTTCCTTATTAAAATCCTTAAAACGCCGTTTTTATACACATCTGACAGTTATTGCGTTGAAACTCACGCTAAATTTCGTCTTAAAATGAAAAACAAAGAAAAAACAACAAGCAACAAACAAGAAATGAGATATTGGAAGAAAATCAGGACTATAAATGAAGAGATGTTCTAAAGATGCGTTGCGGTATTTCAAAAATTTGTAATAAATCTTTTCTCCTTGTCTTGTATTTTCTTCTTTCTGCTTGTTTTTATTTTTGCTTTTTGTTATTACTTGTTTTTCTGTTACTCTATATACAAAAGTAATATATTAGTTTGGAATAAAACACTTTTATAAACGAAACGTTTTTTTTTTAATATCATTTAATTTTTCACTTTCTTTGCGCCCATTTCAAACGTAGAAGCAGCACTAAAAAATAATGAATTACCACCAATAAAATTGAAAATAAAAGAAATAATTAATACCAATTGCAAGTTATCCATTACATTTGTTCCAAACAACGTTTCTTAAACTGCAATCTAAAATCTAAGAATTACATGAAAATTTTGTTTTCCATTGACACAAAAACAAGAGCTGCCTTTATGGGTGCATGGTAGTATAAAAACTTTTTTCTAAAAATATACTTAATTTCTAAAATTGTGCTTTAGGAGAAACTATATCAAAATTGTATTCCGCAATGATGAAAGTGTAAAATCCTTTAATCTAATCTACAATTCTCGACATGTTTAATATTTTTTAAATTAAGTTTAGCACTGCGTTGAACGAAATTAAATTAAAAAACAAAATGCGCTTGAAAAACGAAAAAAATTTCGATAAATCGGCAATAGGTGTCACAGCCCAGTTTGAAACTTTTCATATTTATTTTCATTATTTTTTATCTTTAGTAAGAATTTAGTTTTACAATCATTTAATTCTCTTCTCCAAGTAAACAAACTGCTTTAATTTGCTCAAAAATGTCGTAATATACGTACGCATTCGACAAACAACGTTTTATAATTTTTTGCCATAGTTCAATATATTTAGTTGTGCTAACCTTTAATATTTCAATAGATTGAAAATATCGGTTGGTTTCAATAAAGTTCCTTTAGTTACACTTTATTGTTATACTTGTATTGGGTAGAAAATAATTGCCTCTCTTTAAAAAATATTATAAACCTTCTGTCAAAATATTTATGCCTATAAAAATAAAATAAACCCGTTATCATTTATTCAAATTGAGAACAACTTTTTCTTAAATCAGAATTGCGTTAAGCACTTTTGTAAAATATTTCATTAGTACCAAAAAAAAAAAAAAAAAATGTTAATACGTAATAATAAATAAAAAAAATGAGAAATGAGTAAAAGAAAACATCCAAAATGCAGTGAAATGACATTTTCACTTGTGGCGGAAAAATTTCCTTTTAAAATACTTTTTCCATTTTGGTTTGTTTTTTTTTGTTTCTGCTTTTATAATTTGTGTACACCAATTTATATTAGAACTAAAAAGTATTGCACTAATTTATCTATCAAAAGAATTTAAGAGAATAAAAAGAAAAAGAGAAAAAGTAAAAATTAAAAATGTGAATTGTCATTATTAAAATTTTAAAGTATACGAGTACAAAATATAAAAAAGTCGAACTTCTGAAATGTGATTAAAATAAAATACGGCATTTTGAATTTATTTTAGTTCCACACACACGCATGGAAACACACACATACATACATATATACGTGTATAAAATGTAAAAAAAAAATTGAAAAGAAAGAGTACGGCCGAAATTTGAAATTTCATGTTCCACAGCTTATAACAGAAACATTTTTTGCACCAAATTTTTCACTTTATTTCAAATAAACTCAATAAATAAGACAGTGATTTTACTCTTCATTTTTCTCTGAAATTTGAATGAAATTTTTCAGCGAGGTTCTATATTGCAGTAATACTGTCTTTTAATTCAGTTTAAGTAGAAATTGTTGAATTCAGATTGAACATCATAATTATACATACTATACATTATGTAACTCACGTGTAATGAATATCTAATCTTAGCGGCGCAAATCTGCTTACTTAGATACATAGGAATTTTACTGTATAAGAATAGGCGCATAAAATATATGACGTTAGGTTTGTGTACGTACTTATAATAGCTTTGAAAATACTGAATTAAAACATTTTTTGCTCCTTAAAAATATTTATTTTTTTTCATTTTATTTACATATTTGGAGAAAATATTTTGAAACAAACAAAATTTTATTTTGAAGTTTAATGCATTTTATATTTTCTAAAAGAAATAACAAAAAAAATAAAAAAAATTTATGAGTTTTTCCAGTTCCCATATTGTGCGTGCATGGTGCAAACTGCAAACACACACACAAGATGCCCATAAATGTGCACTATTTTGAATATATAAAATTATTTATATTTATGTAATGTCAAACTTCTGTTTTGTTAATAGGTATTAATGGGATCGTAAATGATTTTTTTTCTTCTTACTTTTTCTTTTTTATGTTTTTGGTATTTTTTTGGTATTTAATGCTTTATTATTAGTGTATTATAAGTACACTTTCTTATATAGTGATATTTTATTTCTTTTGAAACATTAAATTATCACCCAACATAATTTAAATTTTAATGAACTGAAAAGAAATAAATTATTTAAATGAAACTTTTAGTAATAGTGGTGTGCGTATGTTGTATGGAGTCTTCTATTATTGTAAATACACATTGATTTCTTATGGGTGATTATTACATTTTGTATATTTAAAAAAATTATCATTAAAATCAGATTTTTTTTAAGGTATAAG